TTATAAAATAAAAAGGTCTTGATGGACCACGAATAAGATATGAAACTGAACGAGGGAGGTTGGCGCTGGCCGAAGGGAGGTTGGCACGCACAGCGGGATGTGCAGCAGGATGGCAGGAGGAGGCGGACGGGAGGTGGGCAGAGGGCAAGGGTAGATGGGAGATCCCAATGGCGGAAGGGAGGTGGACAGAGGCTGACAGGAGGTCGTCGGAGGTGGAGAGGAGGTCGTCGAAGGCCCAGGGGAGGTGGGCGTGCAATGTTATAAAAGAAAAAAAAAAAAGAAAAAAGGGGCGGCCAACAGGATGTCCAGCGGGATGGCGGATGTGCGGGCAGAGGGACGGAGCCCAGAGCAGACCCCACTGGATGGCAGATGGCGGATGGCGGATGTGATGGCTGACATTTTTTGCACCATGTTTTTTTTTTTTTTTTTTTTTTTTTTCGCCTTTTTGTGAGTGATAGATCAGAGCCAGTCTTAAAAAAAAAAAAAAAACAGGTGATGGTCTATTTGTGGGAGCTTCACATGCTGGGACCGGGCCCAATCAGCCAGTCTCTTGTAGGTAGACCTGGTAGATGCATCAATTGTTCATTTCTTTTTTTTATATGACCGAGTCCATTGTCAGACAGGCACAGTGGGACGAAAGTCCCATTTTTTTTTGGCACCAGTTTTGGGCAGAGAGGAAACAACAGGTGGGAAAAGAAGGGGAATGGTTTCGAGAAAATGCCATTGCCTTTTGTAGACTCAAGTGCTGCTTTTTGCTCTTTTAGGCTCTCCCTTAATTGGATCTCCTCTTCTTGTTGCTTTCTCAGCTGCCCAGCTACCTCCAGGAACATTCCAACTTTTGGCACATTCTGACACAGAAAAACATACATTCAATAAATTTCAAACGGAAAGCAAACCCCTCCTTCTCCTCCTCCTCCTCCCCCTCCTTATGTTCCTTGTTTTCTATCATTGTTTCGTTTTCTTATGTCCCTTCTTCTTCTTCTTCTTCTTCTTCTTCTTCTTCTTCTTCTTCTTCTTCTTCTTTCGTTCATCTTTACCATAGCCATTCTCTACATGTTGTTTCCTCCTCCTCCTCCTATCACCACTAGCTTTCCTCCTCCTCCTCCCCTTGTTCCCTACCCCTTGGTCCAATAGAAGGAGTACCATGTATGCCACAAAAGTTCCATAGCCACTCTCCTCAACACCCCCTC